GACATAATAAAAAAAATGTAACCTTCCACCACATCTTCAAAATTATATTTTAATTAGACGGTATACATAAATATAATTATACTAACCCCTTTATCTGGTGGAATAGGAAAATCTAGTTTAACGTTAGCAAACCTATCTCGATATCGAAGTGTCGTTATCGTCTGGTTTTGTGTCTGTGAAATGAACATCGAAGCATAAACACGTGATTGAACTGTTAGTATTAGAGTATCAATCTAGTAGTATGTCGAACAAATCGCCTAAGCAATTGATGTCGTACTTAAAAGAAATATGCGAATGTACGTACAGACGATTAGTTAATACACCACGATTAAATGTTTGTCATCCATTGAAATCAATGAATTATTCATTATTCAATTGTCAATCAATAGCTAACTAATCAACAATCAAAACGACGATTACGTCACATGGCCAAGATTATGACATAACGAAAGGAATTATTGTAAACTTACAACATTTACTTCTACGGATGGTCCGTCGTCTGAATTTAAACAATTTTCCTCGTCACTAGGCCTACAATCTGCTTTTAAAGATCTAAGAATCATAAGGTAGGATGAATGTACATATTGTCCTAGGCTGAACCGGAGGGTTGCATTGGGGTACGAGAACGAAAGTTGCTGAATCGTAGGCTTCCATGTTCTGACTAAAGTCGACCTGCTGCTCCTGGTAGTTATTCTTTCCTCTGCAGTCGAAGTAAATCACAAAGATGTATTTAATCTAATATATATATGTATATCAAATCAAATAAATAATAATACAGTGCTCAAAACATGATGTAATAAATAAGTCAAACATCGTTCACCAGCAAAAGTAGATTACGTGAACTGTTTGATAGATTTATTACATCATGTTCCCATATATTTGAACACTGTATTATTATATCCTAATTACTATACAAATCCGATTTGATACTATCAAATTTAAATTCCCTCTATGTATGCACACAACACTATCACTTAATGCAAGTATATAAAACATAATACCTGATATGAAACTATTGGTCATTCCGTCCCCTATAATTTCGAAGAAAAGAAAAACAACCATTAATGTATATTATACCATCAACCATTAAAAAGTAGTGTTTAAAATTACTAGTCTAAG